AAAGAAAAACTCATAGAATTATACAACCCAAAGAGTGAACCCTTATGTAACTATGGACTTCAGAAAATAATAGTGTATCAATGTTGGTTTATCAATTTCAACACATGTACCATACCAATGCATGATACTAATAGGGGAAACAGAGGCAGGGAGCAAGGATATAGGAACTCTCTGTACTCAATTTTTTCTGTAAACCTTTAACTGCTCTAAAAAATAAAATCCATTAATTTTTTTAAATGAAATAAAAAGCTTCTGTTTTGCTAGGCTGCCCCTTCCTAGTCCTCTGGCTGCAGAGGGCAGACTTTTCTGGCACTTGTGTCTCAGCCTATTGGTTTTTCTGGGCTGCCAGCTTCTCCAGCATCCATCCTGAAGTATATAAGAAAAACAAAAACCAAAAAACGGGAACTCTCTGCCATGTTCCATACTGTTACTCAGGTCCTAAGTTCCCTGGCTAGTCTACCTTATTCTCTCCACCTTTCAGAGCCTTCTTATGTTTTATACATAATGTCCAAAGTTTTTAGCTGCACTTAATGAGAGGAACAGAGGAAAGTGTATCTACTTCAGCTTAGGCTGCAGCCAGAAGTCAATGAGCATATTTTAAAGTGGCAAAAGGAATGAAGATTTCTAGTTTTTCATTCCTTACATTGAATAGGGTATTGAAGTTCACAAAGTACCTTCAGATGCATTGTTTCTTTTCATCCTCAGATGAAACTTGCAAAATTGGTATTCCTAGCATCCCCTTCCTCAGAAGCAACAATTGATTCAGCAATGACAGGTCTGATGCAAAATCACATAGTCAGTGACAGGGCTAGGGCCAGAATTAGTTTATTCCACTTGATGCTAAAAATTTTTAAACAGATTTGGTAGAAGCATGAGTACACAGTTATAGGATAAATCTTTCTTTAAATATTGTGTATAAATGAGATTTTATCGGTATCTTAAGCTTACCATTTCGAAGTTACACAATTCAAGTTTGCATAAAGTATGAACATTCTGTAGATAACATATTTAAAGTCAATGAAGATAGTGATTCCCCCCACCCCAGTTCCTTAATTTAGCAAATTAATCTGCTCAACAACCCTCTCCTTCAGAGCTGAATGGAAGGGAAACAAGACTCTGCCTCATCTGAATACCCACTGCTGCAGCACACCTTTCTGCAGAGCAGAAGCCTGGATTAGTGACAGTGACCAGAACCCTTGGTGGTGAGCAACACTCAGGAGGAAAGAGGGCTCTCACACTCAGCACACAAGCTTGGGGTATACCCTTCCAGACAGCCCGTGCCATTCCTTCCCCACAGGCACTAGGGTGAACCACAGTGAACAGAAACTGTGTTCTCAAACACACAATGGCCCTCTCAAATGACAGAAAGAGCCACCATCGAGAATCGCCAACTCTCTGAGGAAAATCTGCACCAAGAGAGCAAAGCACCAAACTCAACAGCAGAACACACACATAAAGAAAAAGTATATAGGAAAATGAGCCAATATTTGAAAAGGAGATCACACTTGTCCTTAGAGCAGGAGTGTCAAACTCATTTTCACTGGGGGCTACATCAGCCTTGTGGTTGCCTTCAAAGGGCCAAATGTAATTTCAACTCCTTAACTGTTAAGGAGTAGTTACATTTATATAGTCCCAAAATTATTTCAGCCCTTTGAAGGCAACCATGAGGCTGATGTGGCCCCTGGTGAAAATGAGTTTGACACCCCTGCCTTAGAGGGAAAAGAGAGGATGTCACAATTCATAACAAGAACAGACTGCTCTTCATTTCTTACAAATAAAAAAGTAAAATTGTAAGAATTAAAAATTTAGGAGGTAGGCAAAAGGGAATGCACATGGACAGGGCTAAGAAGCAAATTATCGTGTTCAAAGGCTGAGCCAATAAATTCTTCTGGAACTCAGAACCTGAAAACAGAGAGATTGAAGCTGTGAGTGGGCAGTTATATTTGAAGGACAGAACTGGCAGTTCTGGAACTAAAAGTTCCAGAAACAAAGAATAGTTATGTTGAAGGGAAAAAATTATCTTTTAATTATCAAAATAATGATCAATGTGACAACCCTGGAGCTTGAACAGAAAAGTTTTCAGGTTGAATTGGCTGAATGATAAAATGCATGAGAAAATAACCATACCTAGACTCATTGACATGAAATTTCATAAAAGCAAGTAAAAAGAAAATAAAATCCTTAAAACATACAGAAAGTAAAAACAGGTATTTCCTAAAAAGAAAGGAGATCCAGACTGATAATGATGTCTACTCAGCAGCCCTGCATGCAAAGAGAAAATGGAGCAGTATCTTCAGGTTTCAGAGAAAGGAACTTGTAACCTAGAATTCCATACCCAAAATGTCATTTAACTATAAAGGAAAATGAAAGGCTTCAGAAAGCTCCCCAATCTCAAATTCTCACTAACAGATTATTTGAGGATGGTTACCAACAAAACTAAAAAGGGATCCAAAAAATAGGCATGAGTATAAGAAACAATGATGAGAAAAGAGACAGATTTAAATAAATGCTGATAATAAAAATGAGTGATAGCAGTCCAGAATGAAACTATCAGTTGCTTTCAACATCTGAAGTGGTAGGGGAGTAGGAAGGTCAAAGTGAAAGTGTGCTTAGGTCACTGAGACAAGGAGAAACAGACAGAGAGAAAATTTAGATATTGAGAAAAACACAAATAAGTTTATCCATCTGAATTTATACTACAGAGATGTACTTAAGTACAGTGTCCACCTTGGGAGAAGATGGAAAGCACCAGCAGACAACAAAGAGCACAAGCCAATAAACAGCGAGAAGGGAAAAAACAGGGTATGGCACATGGAAACACAGGTTAAGGCAGAAGGAGTACCTGCAAACACCATTACAGTAATCACAATAAATATGAATAACAGGGGCAGTAACCAATTAAAGAGCAGGCACCCTGAGTTTGTTTAAAAAGGCAAGAGCCAGCTATATTTTATTTATCACACCTACACTTAGAAACAAAATGTCCCAGGGTAGTTGAATTTAGAAATCAAAAAAGATAAACCACATAAAGGCTAATAGAAAACAAAAATAAGCAACAATAGTTTCAGGAAAAATGAAATACAAGGAGAAAAGTTTCAAAAGGGACAAAGAGGAATGTTTCCTACTGATGAAAGATATGATTCACTGGGACCAACTGGGGCAGCCTGGAACAAGATGTTCTCATCTGCTACTTCTAAAATCCTGTCGTCATTGTGTTGAGGGTCTTTGTGAGTCAGTGAACAAAACAAACCCCCAGCCTTTATGAAGCTTTTGTTCTAGTGGAAGGATGACAGACAAAAAACTAGTAAGTAATTAAACTCTACAGTATGTCAGACAGGGACAAGTGCTGAAAAAAAATAGGGAAGGGTGATAGGAGGTGCAGTTTCAATAGGGTGACAAAGGGAGGTCATACTGAGAAGGTGATATGAGCAAAGACCTCCAGGAGCTGAGGAAGCAGCTATGCTGATGCCTGAAGGACAAGAACTACAGACAGAGAGCACAGCAAGAGCTGGAGGGTGAAGTGGGCTCAAGCCGGCATGGGCAGTCAGCAATGGGAGGAAAGACCACACATCCATGAAACAGAAACAAAATTCCCTCTCAGATGATTTTAGGAAGTTTCAAAATAAACACGAGATCAATCATCTGAAAAATGGCATCAACCAAAAGATTACCTAGAAAAGGAGATTTTTAGAAATGCATGACAGTCTAGGAGATATGAATTTAATCTAAAGACCTAGAAATCTATACTGAATAGAATTCTATGTCTTTAGTCACAATCCAATGTTACTGGATTACAACTATATGTAAGACAGCGGACACCTACTCGGTTGCATTTTACCCACTGTGAAGAAAGACACATTAAAGGGGAAGGGCTTAATTAAAAAGTTTGGGGATCTAATGTACAGCATGGTGGTTATAGCTAATACTATTGTACCATAGACTTGAATGTTGTCAAGAGAGCAGATCTTAAATGTCCTTGCCACAGAACTGGTAATGATACGATGAGATGGAGGTAGCAGCTAATATTATGGTGATAACCATTTTGCAATTTATAAACATATCGAGTCAACATGTTGTACACCTTCAACTTATACAATGTTATATGCCAATTATATCGCAATAATAAAGCCAGAAACAAAAGAGAAGGGCTTGGTATGAATAGGATTTATAAAACAGGAATTTGTGAGACAAAAATGCGGTGATGTGCTTCCAACAATGCTCCTGGGAAAGGGTTTACTGATTAATGGACTTGAAAAGTGAGTTTATTTAGCAGGTATAGTTTTCATTTTAATCATCAAGATAACTATATCTGGGGATTATTAGGTCACAGAAGTCACCCAAATGATTTCAGGATTGGAAAGCAATCTTATTAAGTAGCAGATTCCCTACAAGAGAAAGGAAACTGTACTTATCGAAGGACTTGAGTCTAGTCCCAAGGAGGCTCTGCTGATACATACGAATAAAATGGCGTTCTGCTTTATTCAGTATTATCATGTGACTTTAGTTCTCACAGTCATCAGACCAAAACTTTCTGGATACACAGAAACAAAAGGGTCTGAGGAGCTAAGGGCTAAGATTTGAAATATAGTTATTACATTGAGATGGAGCTGGATCATTAGGCCTCCCAGGTGCCACCCATACCTAGTTGTACATCCATCCAACCCTATGTTTGAAATACTGTACTGAGGAATGACCACGGGCTTAACAGACAGAAAACCACCTGGGATTCTGCCAGCACTAGCCATCAAAGCTGAACAGATTTATGTATCTTTCAAAACGGGAGTAACAATAGCTATTCTGTCTATCACACTGGCTTGTCTTAAGGCTCAGAATCTAAATCTAAAACAAATAGCCAGATGAATAAAAGGTATTACTGTGATCATCATTACACATCCTGTATCCTGAGTATATAATTGATATGCTCATCACCATAATTATCTGAGAACTGAAGACAAGAAGAAAAACCACTAACCCACTAAACAAAATATAGGAAATCCTACCTCTCAGCAACTGGTTTGGCAATGTTTTCAAAAAGGGTCTCTTGGTTTGCATCTTGATCAAAAATCCTTTGAAAACTGCAAATGTGGAAACAGTAATTATTTTAAAGCTGAGCCTTCAAACACTATTGGATTAACATTTTTTTCTGACAGCTTTGTAAATCACCCCATATTTACATCACTGGGCTTACCTAACCTAACACAATGTTTGTCCTATAGTCCCAACTACACTGTGCTCTTGTACCCCTATACACAAATAGTGGGCAAACACTATTGCTTTGACAAGATCTGCACAATAAATCCCTCTGAAAAACTGCAGCAGCTTTGAAACAAATAATAAACTGTGTGTTTTTTAGCTCTCAAGAGGGACAGTGTCTGCAATTGGCATCAAATTCAAATCTAGATAAGTGCATGAAATGGAAATCCAAGAACAGGATGTAAACAGCCAAAGAACTTCTGATGTCTGACCTGTAAGAAAAGAACGCAGCTATGAAATGTATGATTATTGAACTTGGTTTTAAAATTCTGAACTAAAGTTTATTTTCCATTAATTAGGTACTACATCCTAGTATTAGATACTTAATTTTCAGAGAAGTGTATTTCGCTTTGTTGATCATGAGTCAAAAGTCAAAAAGTGAATTAAGATAGATCTGTCCTGCAAAGAGAACTCTTTATCAGATTGGCAAGGCTAGGGGCCTGGGGAGGTGGGATGGTGTCAAGTTCATACTTCCGTGCAGTGGTACTCTGACTAGCTTAGCGCAGGATCATAAGCACAGTGGAATGCTTGGGGACACACGGCCTATTCTTTTACAATGTGGTAAGTTGCTACTCGTAAGCATTTCCTTCAAAAAACATAATGGTGGAGGGGAGAGAGAGAGAGAATGTAGTATCTAGGGTGAAATGTTAAATATTGGTGAATCTCTCACATAGAGTATAGGAGAGTTGATTGCATTATTTTTCCACATGTATGGCATACTGAACAGTCTTCAAAATAAAAACTGGGAGAGGGAGGGGAATGCTTTAAAGCAAAACATTTAAAACGAACACGAGCAGCTTTCAGAGTTACTTGGGAACTTTCAGTTCATGGGCCTGCCTAACACAAGTGAATTGGGTCCATCTCTGATTAATGTAGAGACTACATGAAATGTAGGGCTGTTTTCACTACTGAGATGTTTGGAAGGATATCTGGAGCTGGGCTGGAAATATACAACAGATTAGCATTCATTGCCTTTAATCAAAGTTAACTTCAAAAGATCCCTTTGGCTTATCAACCTCCCTTTTGAAGAAGCAAATAATGAAACCGTATATAAAGGGAGATTGTAAGTCACTCTGGCTACCTTGTCGTTTAGCAGCCAAGACTGTATCTTTGACAACAACATTCACAACATTCACCCAAACATTCCCCAAACCCTGTAAGTGCACTGGGGCTTCAGACATGAACATGGACATAACACAGAGAACATGGCTGCTCAAGTGCTCCTCAGAGCCATGATTACTGTGATATCTGAACACAGACCCAGTGTGCTGTTGAGGATGAGGATAAGGCTGCTTTGATTCTTTACCAGGTTGATGATGGCTGAGTGAATCAATAGCTATTCTCAGCCCCACTTCCTTAAGCAATAAGAATTACATCTATCAATCTATCACCATGTAAACCAAAGTGTTGACAAGGGTTTCAATAAACCATACAATAGCATTAGATATCAAATATCATTATCCCCAAATATTTAATTTTATATAGTAATAGTTACATAGTAATCTGGAAAGGCATTATGGTCAGCTATTTTCTGAACATCTTTGAAGAGAAATATAAAATCATAGGGTTTCACAAGTTGGGTCTAATCTTTTACAGAGGAAAAAGTTGTTTTATTCCAGGAAGATAAAGCAATTTACTTGTGGCCCTGGAGCAAACCAATAATGCACCTTGAGACATGACTTAGGTTTCCTGTTTCCTAGGAGGTCCTTTCATTTATTTGGAGGTTGCGTAAGCTTTTTCTAAACTCCATTTCAAATCCGACATAGGCTGATCTCTTCCCACCCCAAAACTGTTCAACCCGGTCTTTCTCATCCCAGTAAATGACAACTCCATCCTTCTAAAAGTTCAGTCCAAAGCCCTTAGGGCATCCTTGACTCCTCTCCTTCCATTACACACTATATCCAACCCATCAGCAAACTCTGTCATCTCTGACCTTTAAAATACATGCAGAATCCAACTATTTCTCAACATTTCCACTCGCTACTACCCCAACCCAAGCCATCAGAATATCTTGCCTGATCTTTTTCACTCCCTTACAGTCTATTTGCTACATGTTAGCAAGAGTGATCCTGCTCAAACATAAGTGAGATTATTTCATTCTTCTGATAAAAATCCTTTATTGCCTTCCAGAGCACTTTGGGAAAAAGCTCCATATGATCCGGCCACTCTGCTGCCCCTTTAACCTTCTTCTTTCCCTCTCCCCCTTGCTTACTCACCTCAAGCCACACAGATCTCTTATCTCCAAACAAGCCAGGCATTGTCCCATCTCGGGCACTTAGCTCTTGCTATATTCTCAGCCTGGAATTCGCATCCCTCAGATATTTGTCTGGCTTCCTTACTTCCTTCAAGTTTTGTTCAGATGTCACTCTCTTGTACACCTTCCCTGCCTGCCCTGTGAAATACTGCAGCTTCCCTCCCCTTTGCTGCCCCTCACCCAGCACACCTTGGTCCCCTTCCCTGCCTTATTCTGCTCCACGGCACTTAACACTTTCTGACACACATGTTACTTATTGATCTGCTTGTGCATCTCCTCCCACTAAATGTAAGCACTGTAAGAGCAGGGCTTTGCTTCACCCCTGCTGTATTCCTAGCCATTAAAATGGCACATGGTGAATGGTCAATAAATATTGATTACACAAATTTTCTGGTGAGAAAACAGCCTTAAAATGCTTAAATATTAACCTCTGAACATATGTATGTTAAATATTTTATTAATTTCCTTATTTAAAATACCAAACCAATGTTTCTAATTCAGAGATTAGAAAGAATGATTAAGAAATTTAGAAATAAGCAAACAGCACTTTCCCAATAAACTTATATTTAAATGCACTCTGTATCTATGTGACATACAGAATACTTTGGAAAGGGTCCATACACACAGACAAGGTCATTTTTTTCTTAATAATCAAACAGAATCGTGCTGAAGAAAACGTTTTAGCAAAATGTGGCTTACAGAGAATGTTCCAGGCCAGCCGTCATGAAGTCATACAGCTACTAAGGCCTGTAGTACACTTACATCAGTGGGAGAATGCCCCCTTCAGAAAAGCTAAGTCATTTATTATAAGGCTGCTCCTTAAAAGACAAAACAAAAGGCAATGGGGAGCCAAAAAGACAAGGTGAGGACCACCTCACTGTGTGAGCAAGTGCTCCAATCCGGCTTGTACTTGGTGTAAAAAGGGACACGAGAAGATGGGGTGAGGTGGGAGGAGAGACACGTGCAGGAGAGACAAAGGGTAGAGTTCTGAAGACCAAAGAGAATTTTATGAGACAATCAAATAAGAACAAATAAATATGAGAGAGTGAGAGAGAGAGAGAAAATCATAAAAAATAAATATCCAAGGCAGTTTTATCCAAAGGGTAAGGGCAGAAATAGTCTCAAAATAAGAACTACGTCACACAGCCTAGAGAGAAATGCAAGAAAGCAGTTGGGATTCCTTCAGCAGAACCCAGAAGTCACCACGTAAGTATGAGCCGCAGATCAAATATGGATTTAACTTGGGCTCAAACTTCTCCAAAAATCAAAAGTAAGGATTAAAGGCAATCACATAATCTGAAACTGGAGAATAAAGACTGAATGAAATAGCCATCATCGCACAAGTCAAGGCCTGGCTGCTGGCAGAGTGTCTGGTCTGCAGGCCTGACGAGAGTCCGGGGTGGCCACTGGGCGCTGTGCTCCTGAACCACACAGGTCAGCACTGTCCAAAGGAAATGTAATGTGATCCAGAAACATGAGTGTATATGTTATTTAAATAAAACTTCCTAGTAGCCACATTTTTAAAAAAGTAAAAAGAAACAGGCGAAATTAATTGTATCAACATAATATATTAAAAATTTTATCATTTTAATGTAGAATATGAAAATATTCTTGAGATATTTTACATTTTTTTCATACTAAGCTTTCATAAATCCTTGATATATTTTATACTTACAGAACATCTCAATTTGGACTAGCTACATTTCAAGTGCTTAAGAGCTACATGTGACTGGTGGTTGCTACATTGGAGAGTAAAGTTATAGAGTATTCATATGTGCATTGAGGTCTCTACACTATTTATGTTATAAAGAAGGCTCACCTATACAGGATACAGATTGTGCCTTAAGTTCTTATTTTTAATAAAATTTGGTCACACATTGAACTTGCTAAACTGTAGTGGGCCGATTAGGAAAAGAATAACACTGATGTATAAGGGGAATCAAATCAACAAAACAAACAAGCAAGCAAAATATAACCAGAGACATTGAAATAAAGAACAGACTGACAGTTACCAGAGAGGAGGAGGGAGAAGGATAATAGGGGAAAATAGGGGAAGGTCCATCAAGCAACATGTATAAAGCAACATGGACAAAGCCAAAGGGGGTAGGTGTGAGGATGGGAGGCAGGGATGGATGGGGCAGGGGGCTGTGGTGGGGTGACAAATGGAGACAACTGTACTTGAACAGCAATTTAAAAAAAAAAGGAAAGGCCGGGATCTTGGTATATCATAGTGGATAGAGAAGTATACCCTCTTTGCAACTTTGGGCACAGCAGTGAAAAGGGAACTTGAATTCTCTACCTACCAGATGAAATGGAGAGCTGTGCTACATTATTCCCCAAAAATGGAGCTAAGGACTTCACAGTATATATGAGTGCAGTAGGAGTTAGTTCCACAGTAAAACAGAAATAAAGAAGGAGGAAGATAAACTTACTTAAATTTGTAGCTTTCTCGCTTATTATTCACAAACCCATCTGCCAAATCACGAGGTACGATAATTTCCAAGCTTGGTACTAATTTTTCACTTTCATCTATGGAATAAATCTGCAAATATGAAAACAACAAATGAGTATACAATGCTAAATTTATGGCTTGAAGTATGACCATGTTATTATGATGTGCATTGTAATTTTATAAAAAAGTAAACTTTAAAGATAAAAAGTCAAAATATAGTATAATTTGGGTAATTTTCCTCTTTGAACTGTGTGCAGACTCAAACAAATACATGGAACTGAAAAAGAGGTAAAAAAAAAAACTAAATGAATGCTCTGTCACACAGGTGGCCAACACAAGGCCCACAGGCCGAATCTGGCCCTCCACCTTGTTTTATCCAGCCTGGCACCTTGTTTCTACCTGGCAGCAGCACTGAGCTCTCGTTTTACTGTTAAGGAGTAGTTACATTTACATGGTCCTAAAATACATTCAGCCCTTTGAAGGCAACCACGAGGCTGACGTGGCCCCCGGTTAAAATGAGTTTGACACCCCTGCTCTATCAGATCGTCTTCGAACATTTAATATTCAATTTGAATATTTGAGTATCTCTGTTGTTAAGAAACTAATAACCCTGAAAGCAATATATTTTCTAAATAATGCTTTGGAATTATATTACAGAAATTAACATTTTACTACAAACAACAAGCATTTCTGAGCATTTACAAAATGCTAGACAAGAAGATAAAAGGACTACATCTGAGACTTCTGAAGGAACTCAAGAGTATGCTCTAACTCAAATTATGTCCAAAGAAGCCCAGGTTTTCATGAGACATAGTCAGGCAGTTGACAAAAGATATGTGCTTTCAAAAGACACAAGTATTTCATGTCTTTGTTGTCATCTTCAAGGTTCTAATCCCAGCTCAGCCATTAATTAGCAAATGACCTGGGGAAAAATCACTTAACCTCTCTAGGCTGATGTGAACATGAAGGCTCTTAACCAACTGCCTTACAACCGTAATATTTTGTGACTGTCTTCTTGGTTATGTACTCCTTTATTTATTGGCCAGAAAAACCAAGAGTCAAGCCTATAAAGAGGTCATGTGGAATAAAGAAAAGAATAAGATTTTGAGTCCAAAGATCTGGGTCCAATGATGATCTTAATTTACCAGATGTGTGACCAGCTACCACATTCAGAATCTTAGTCCCTTATACATAAAATGAGGAAAACAGAATTGCCTCCCTCACAAGAATGCTGTGGGGATCAAATGATGTCATGGAAATGGAAGCATTTTGTAATGCACCATAAAAAATGTTAGTCATTAGTTTTAAAGGTTTTTAAGAAAGACTTCTTGTCTTTCACCAGGAAATAAAATTATTTCTAACAGACAATACCTACTGTTTAAGACCCATTAGATGTTTCACTGGGGGTGGGGGGAGGGGGTCATATTCTTAAACAAGTGATAGCCTACTCAAATCTCCAGAAAATTTGAATAATTTTCCTAAGCAGACTTTTACTGAACACTCTCATTTAAAATGTAAAGAATCTGTGTGAAATAAAATTATTTGTAGAAAGTAATGGCATCAGGTCCAAGGCTTTCTAGCTAGGTTTTCTCAAGAGACATTAAAAAATTGTATCCTGTAGGGCACTACATTGAAAAACAAAGGGTTAATGCCCAGACAGGTGAGTAAAACAGGGGGTATTAGACATGAAATACCAGGAGGGTTGCCACACAATGAAAACAACAATAAAAAACAGCAGTAAAAGCCCGTAACACTCAGTGCTCAGAAGACGAAAAGGACTATCTACTAGAGTGAAATAGCAACATCCACCACTATCAGTAAGCCATTCTTTGAGGCATTAGGAAAAGCCCCTTATAACCAGAAAACTTGTTTACTCTAATAGATTGTCTTTGTAACCTTAGTCACAAAGTATTTGAAATACAGTAGTTTTTTTAAGAATTGAAGGCATTTTCAAGGAAGTTCTGGCCAAGATGGAGGCATAGGTAGAAACCCTTCACTTCCTGGAACAACCAAAAGAAGGGTAATGACCAATCTCAAATCAATAAATAACCAAAAGCACCAGAAAATCTAACTGCATGGAACTCCAACACCCAAGGAATTAAAGAAAAAATCAACCAGACTGGTCAGGCAGACCCCACAGGCAGACTCAGAATATCCAAGCGAGGGGGCTGAGGGGCGGGGCTAGCTGCTGAGCTCAGCAGGCTGCAAGGGAGGAGTTGGCCAAAGGGGAAAACTGAGACTCAGAACCGACTGTGGGCTAAGACTGGGGTTGCCCGGTGGGAGTTTCTCCCAGTCTGACACAAGAGTTGAAAAATGCACTAGAGAGGAGCAAGCAAGCTGCATTGTTCCTTCTCTGGCCCCTCCCCCACAGGAGGGTTGTCTTGCCCTGGTGAATACCTAAGGCCCCTCCCCTTACAATTTATGAGGTGCTCAGAGATAAATAAATAATGGCCCAAATGAAGAACAGAGTAAAACCTCAGAACTAAGCGATGAGGAGATTACCAACCTATCTGATGGAGAATTTAAAGCCCTGGTAATCGAAATGCTCACAGAACAAATTGAAAACTTATTTGAGCAAATAACTAAGGAAAACTTCCCAGATCTGGTGAAGGAAACAGATTTCCAGGAAGTCCAAGAAGCCCAGGGAGTCCCCAAAAAGTTGGACCCAAAGAGGAACACACCAAGGCACATCATCAAGGCTTATACCCAAGATTAAACACAAAGAGAAAATTCTAAAAGCAGCAAGAGAAAAGGAGACAGTTACCTAAAAAGTAGTTCCCATTAGAATATCAGCTGATTTCTCAAAAGAGACCTTTGCAGACAAGAAGGGGCTGGAAAGAAGTATTTGAAGTCATGAAAGGCAAGGACCTACATCCAAGATTACTCTATCCAGAAAAGCTTTCATTTAGAACCGAAGGGCAGATAACGTGCTTCCCAGATAAGGTTAAGTTATAGGAGTTCATCATCACCAAGCCATTATTATATGAAACATTAAAGGGACTTATCTAAGAAAAAGAAGATAAAAAATATGAACAGTAAAATGACAACAAACTCACAACTATCAACAAATTAATCTAAAAAAAAGAAAAATAACAAAAACAAAAACTAAGCAAACAACCAGAACAGAACAGAATCAGAGAAATGGACATCACACAGAGGGAGTTCAGTGGCAGGGTGGGGGGGGGGGGAGGAACAGGGGGGAAAAGGTACAGGGAAGAAGAAGCATAATTAGTAGGCATAAAATAGACAGGGAGAGATAAAAATGGTATAGGAAACACAGGACTCAAAGAACCTATATGTACAACCCATGGATATGAGCTAAGTGTGGGGGGAATGTGGAAGGCTTGGGGGGGGCAGGGTGGGGGAGGCGATAAAGGGGGAAAATTGGGAAAACTGTAATAGCATAATCAATAAAAATACTTAAAAATAAAAGGATAGAAGATAACTACATCTAATGAAAAGATGAATATGAAAATATTTTGAAATATACAAAGCACTGTACAAATGAAAAACCCTGCCATTATCAAAGGTTCATCTTACATATTTTCTGATTTATCATCTCTATGTTACTATAATTTAACTTATAGTCCCTTAAGAAATTAGATTAATGAAGTAGTGGAGCCATAAAATGAAGAAACAGAAGAAAACTTCATACCACTTAAAGCTACAAGTTACATTTCCAGCTTGAGAAACAATCAGACAATCCTTTGAGGGCAAAAAGATAGGGTGCTGGAAGTGGGATTTCTAAGGGAGAGCAGGAATTTGTTCATCTGCGCTCTCGTGTGTGTGTGTGTGTGTGTGTGTGTGTGTGTGATAATGTTGAATCTCAGTAAGAAATGTGACATTATAAAGATACAGTATGACACCTAAAAATACTTCCCAGAGCACCAACAATGTACTCCACAGAATCCCTCCAAAGAAATGCAAAAGAAGGCATATTAAAATATAAAAACATGCATTTTAAGAAAAGAGTTCAATATTTAATCAGACTCTCCATCAGCCCACCCCCAGTCCTGCCTTTGTCCTCTCACATTACCATATCCAGGCACCTGCTTCTGACTGCTGAGTCTCTGTCAATAAATTTAGCATTTTTACCAAGAATCTGAGGGGGAGGAGAGGAGACATTACATGTACTTTTTACATATGATGCACTTTTAAAAACCTTCTTCTAAGGGAATGTAAGAGGAGAGAAATTGGGATTATACCCATGGCTCCTTTCTACACTGCTTTATTTTTTAAAAAAGAATCAATATTTTCTTTGGAGTCTTCTCATGCACCTTCCCAATGCATTCCATGAGTAAAAAAGAGTGATGACAAAGATGCTATATTCTCCTTGTTTTAAATACATAAATTGTATGAGGCAAACGCTAAACTATGACATGCTATGATGTTACATTTATATATGTATATAATATAGAAGTACAGATATGGGATAAAGATAAAATATTAGTAATATACCCACTCCAGGCACTGATTAATATGACTCAGATTGCTCTTGCCTAAATCCTCACTTTGGGAGGCAAAATTTTTTGTCTGAAGATCTAAGGGCTTTGGAATAAAAAAATTCTACATTATAATCAGGGTTCTGTCACTCACAAGATGGATGGCTTGGCCACATTACTCCCCCTGAGACTCAGTTTCCTCATCTATAAAATGAGGAAAATAACACTAACCTTGCAGAGTTCTCATGGGAACCAGGAAGATGTAGACAAACCACATAAGTGGTAAGATTGACTATACCCCTTTCCAAAGGCTGAAAACTATGTTTTAAAACATTTAAGAAGCATTCAAGGTTATCTCTGCTCAGAGCAAGGGCAATGTCTTTATCTTTGTACACTTCTGAGTTTAGCATACTAGAGAAAGAACCTAGTAAGTGCGCTCAGCTACTGTTTTCTAAATAAAGAATACATGCAAATTCTTTGTGTTAGGATGCCTAAATATCTAGTTACATGCGCAATTAGTATTATGTCAACGCTCATGTTTCTGTTGCAAAATGAAAATACAGTCAACACATTCTAAGGGCCCACTATGTGCACAGCCACAGTGCATATGCTGTTTATCTGTATTTGAATCTATTATTCGTAATATCTCAAATATATATGGACGTGCATCTCTTGCTTGCACTTTTTTGCCCAGTGTGGGAAACATAAGTTTAAGTGTATGTGTGTGCAGAGATGCGTGAACGTTTCCCAGAAAGGGGCAATAGGGGCCCATAGTTGAGGCACAACTTATGTGAGTGTACAGACATGGGAGAGCACGCGCATCTGCCCCTACGTGAACAGGTGTGCCTAGGTGCAGGGTATGTCTGCACCCACAGAGCTGTGCTAAGTGGAAGTGCCCGAGTGTCTGTCCGGGTCCTCACACCAGTACGCTGGTGTCTGCGCAGCTGTCGGGGCTCCTCCGACAGAGTGTGCTGGATCCTGGGAGGCTTTAGGCGCCGGAAGCCCAAACCCCTAAGCCGCGTCCAGCCCCTCGCGTGCCGTCCTCCCCCAGCCGGGAGGCCCTGCCGCTCCTACACCCTCCCCGCTCCGACCCGTACCCCTTGTGGCTGCTTCCGGACAGTGGGCTTCACCCTGGCGAAAATCTGAATCGTCTGCTTCACCATCTCCTCCCCGGCTTTGTACTGACCCTTGACCTCTCAGGCCCACGTTCCCAAAACTTCAGACTCCCACCACCTCGGCGAGCGGCAGCCTTAGCAACAGTAACTAGGGACTCTACCCAAGGAGCAATGCGCCAACCAGGACCGCCTCCTCTCACTAATTGGTTGCTGATAGATGGGGCGGCCCCGAAGGAGGGACTGAGGAGTGGGTTGAGGCCAGTGGAGCGGACAGTGCTGCGCATGCGCGTGGTGGAAGACTGGTCTGAGGCCGTGGGTTTAGCCCCAGAGTTGGCCTGGAGGGTGCTTAATGGGGTGACAATCACCATGCCTTTCCCCGTTCCTTAATCCATTGTTCCTCTGTGCCAGCACCTCTTTATAGCACTGAGGCCATTCTGTCTTTTAGTATTCATTCATTGAAGAAATGGCACTTAATCTGTGACAGTAATGGGCTGGTTTGGGATCCTGAGCTGAGTAAAACTGTCTCTGGCCGCTTGGAGATTAGGATCTGATGAAGCACACAGATTTGCAATAGGAAATTAGAGTTATGTCCGGGTTGCCCTTGATCAAGTGTCTCAGTTGGTTGGAGTCTCATCTGTATGCCAAAAGGTTGAGGGTCCGATCCCTGGTTGCGGCGTACGCCTGGGTTAAGTGTTCTGTCCCTGGTCAGGGTGCATACAGGAGGCGACAGATTGATGTTTTTCTGTTTCACGTCGGTTTTCTCTGTCTCTCTCTCCCTCTCTCTAAAAGCAATAAATATATTCTCAGGTGAGGGTTAAAAGAAGTTGTTTTTATGTCGAGGTAAGCAAGGACTTCTGTGAAGGGTACCTCATCTACCTCTATAATGGGACAGGCAAGGCTGGAGAAAGGCTGGGCTGTTTCCCATTCAATGGTCACATCAGGAAAGAAGGAGCTCCCTTGCACATTGTTGCTGGGAATGTAAATTGATGCAGCCACTGTGGAAAACTGTATGGAAGTTTCTCAAAGAGTTAAATATAGAACTGCCATAGTATCCAGTAATCCCACTCCTGGGTCTATATCTGAAAGAACTGAAATCAGGATGCCTAGGAGATATTTGCATATTTATTGCAACATTAGCTAAGATATAGACCAATGTAGTGTCCACTGATGGATGAATGGATAAAGAAAATGTAATATATATTATATATTTTATGTTCTACATCGGCAATGAAGTTATATATGTATTTGTTATGGAGTTAACCATATATAGCTAGAACAGATGACACTGAGTGTGTCTACTGACAACATGGTTCCTGTACTGCATGTGAAATATAAATGGGACTGATATTCTTATTCTTGCAAGACAGAAATTACCTTTTCTCTTTGTGTAAAAACCATCGAGCTCATACTAAAGTGACACCCAATGGGTATTAGAAAATGTTAAATGCATTTAATTTAAAATGGAATGTAATTCTGCCATAAAAAAGGAGATCCTGCCATTTGCAATAACATAGATGAAACTAGAAGGCATTAAGCTAAGTGAAATAAGTTATACAAGTAAAGACAAATACTGTGTGATCTCACTTACATGTGGAATCTGAAAAAGTGGAAGTCAGAACAGAAAGTCGAATGGTGGTTGCCAGGAACTGGGTGGGAGAAATGGGAAGGTAGGGCTCAAATGGTACAAACTCTTGGTTCTATGAGGAATGAGTTCTGAGGATCTAATTTACAACATGATGATGATGTATTACATACTTGAAAGTTGCTAAGAGACTGAATCTTAAACATTTTTGTCACACACAGAAAAAGTATGTGTGATGGAGGTGTTAAGTAACCTAATAGTGATAATCACTTCACAATATATACATGTATCAAATTATCACATTATACACCTTAAACTTACATGTCAATTATAGCTCAATAAAGCTGGAAAAATATATTAAATGACAAGCACTTCAAAAGACACTGTTTAAACATGAAAAGATGTTCAACATCATTATCTACCAGGGAAATACACATTAAAACCACAATGAGATATCACTGCACACCTATCAGAATGACAAAAGTAAAAAATAGTGACAAAACCAGATATTGACAAAGATATAGAGAACCTGAATCATTTACACATTAAGGGTGTGAATGCATAATGTAAAATGTGTCACAACTAATAGTACAGCAACTCTAAAAAACAGTTTTGCAATTTTTTACAAAACTGAAGATTCAATTATAGTAAGATCATGGACATTTATCTCACAAAAATGAAAACTTGTGTTCACACAAAACCTGTGCATAAGTGTTCAGAGCAGCCTTATTCATAACAGCTCCAAACTAGAAGGAACCCAGATGTCCTTCAACCAAAGAATGAATAAACTGTGGAATACTATTCAGCAATAAAAATGAAGAAACTACTGATACATATAATAACTTGGGTGAATTTTCAGAGAATTATGCTGAGTGAAAGAAGCCAAACTCAAATGCTGTATGATTCCATTTTTATAACATTCTTGAAATGACAAAATTATAGAGATGGAGAGCAGATTAGTGGTTGCCAGGGGTTAGGGAGGCAGGGAGGGGGTGAGGTGGCTGTGGCTATAAAAGGATCCTTGTGATGGACTGTTCTGTATCTTGACCATGGTAGTGGTCACAGAACTACACAGAACAAAGGACACATGTACAATGCACATAAAACTGGTGAAAGCTGAGTAAGATTGAATAAGATGGATGAATTGTATCAGTGCCCACTCCCTGATTGTGACCTTGTACCATAGTCATATGCACAATGGTATGATTAGAGGACCTGGAGGAAGGGCATGCAAGATCTCTCTGTATTATTTCTTAAAACTGCATGTGAATCTCCAATTACCTCAAAATAAAAATGTGTTTTTAGAAAGAAACTGTTAGAGAATGAAAATACTACCCACAAACTGGGAGGACATTTTTGCAAAAACACTTATCTGATAAAGGGCTTGCATCCAGAATACCTGAAAACTCTTAAAACTCAATAGGAGATAGGAAAGCAAACTATCCAATTTGTTTTCTAAAAATGAAGGTGAGCAAGCATTTGAACAGACACTTCCCACTATATAGATGGTAAAAAGTACATGAAAAGATATTTAATATAATGAATCATTAATGAAATGCAAATTTAAACCATAATAAGATACTACAACACATTTCTTAGAATAGCTAAAAATAAGAAAATAAAACTGGCAATACCAACAGCTAGCATCTGGAACTCTCTCAGACTTGGCTGGAGAGAATGCAAGATGGCCCAGTAACTTTTAAAAACAGTTCCATAGTTTCTTATATACAGAGCAACACATATACTTACCATTAGACCCAGCATTTCTGCTTTTAGGTGTTTACCCAAGTGAAATGAAATGTAAACACGCAAATGATTATTGTGGTTTTCTTCACAATCACCCAAAACTGGAAGCAAAGTAACTGTTCTTCAGCTGGTGAATGGAAAACAATCTGGTACATTCACACAACTAAAAGAAATGGACTGTTGATACCCGCAACAATGTAATTGAATCTCAGATTTATTATACCAAGTGAAAGTTGCTGAATTCAAAGTTACATATATTATAATTCCACTTATATGACATTCTATAAAAAGCAAAACCATAGTGACAGAAAACAGATCAGTGGTTGCCAGGAGTTGGGTGTAGTGAAAGGGGTTGACTACAAATAGGCATGGGAGAGGTTTTGCAGGAGTGGGCAGGGAGTAATGGAACTCTTTCATACTTTGATTGTAATTATGGTTACATGACATTCATCAAAACTTTATACATTTGTCAAAACTCACTCAAAGGGTTGAATTACAATGCATGTACATCATGCTATTATAAAAAGGGTGAAAAAATGGAGGATGGAGTATGAACAGGGATGGAGTAACGGGGATTGAGGAAAAGAGAGAAGCAGGCATTCATGAAATAGACTTTAAAGGCTGCGTTACTTGGTGGTCAGGAAGAAAAGACTCAAGATTGCACAATTTGGCTGTCTTCATATCTTGGCCATTGTGACTACTGCAGTGACCATGGGAGTCCTGGCATCTCTTTGCTACGGACCCCGTTCCCTTCAGGAATGAGGCAACCTAAGTGTTCCTATACACACAATGGAATGTGATTCAGCCATAAGAAGGAAAACACTGCAATTTAAAATAAAATCAATAAAACTGGAGGGCATTATGCTAAGTGAAAGTAAGCCATACAAAGAAAGACAAATACTGTATGATATCACTTATATGTACAATCTAAATACATACAGTAAAAACAGAGTAAGATGGTGATTGCCAGGGCCTAAGGGGTGGGGGAAATTGGGAGATGTTGATGAAAGGGTATAGAATTTCAGTTGTGAGATGAATAAGTTCTGAGGACATTGTGGCTATAGTTCATTACACTATATGTATACTTGAAATTTGCTAAGAAACTACATCTTAAGTGTTTCACCACAAATAAAAAAATAAAAAATGATGATGTGAAGGATGTATTAATCAACTTCCTTCTAGTAAATACTTTATAAAATATGTGTATACTAAAGCATCACATTATACACTTTAAGTATACACAAATTATTTTTCAATTGTACTTCAAGATATATTTTTTCAATTATATCTCAAGAAAGCTGGAAAAATAAAATTGGGCTATTGAGTGTATGATGCAGGTATTTACCTGGACAGGTGAAATAGATTAGAATGGGAAAGGGGGAAATAAGGGAAAGTTTGGTGCATGTTAAATTTCAGGTACCTGTGGTACTTTGACTAGTCATTTCGGCTATGTCTGAAAACCCAGATGTGGTAGCCACTGAGAGGGACTGAGGCTGAGATCCCAGCACTGCTGCTTGAAGATGGGAGAGGGGCTGCAAAGAGGCCCAAAGGAGCACCTGGAGAGGTCTGAGGGAGAAAAGGGAGTGTTGTATCATGGAAGTTGAGGGAAGAGAAGATTTTGAGAAGTTTTCAACCATGTGGATACTAAAGAGGATGTGCTGAAAATGCCCATCCAATTTAACAACTAGAAAGTCATTGGCAACCTAGACAGCAGCTTCAGTGGAGTGATGGGATCAGAAGTCAGATTTCAGGAGGCTGAGGAGTCAATAGGAGGTTAAGGAGTAGAG